TGTTGCTTATTTTACCAAGCACTCTTCCTCCTAATCAGTATCATAACCTGAAATCCATTTCTCCAACTAATTTCCCTTTTGGATACCAGTGCTATACATCTGCATTAATCTTTTCACTTTCTGTGGCTTGAGTCCTTCTAGGTTCATCTATTTATTGCCCAATACACTCCTCTTCTAATGAGTACATTCTCTGAGCTCTTCAGTATGTATTTCATTATCCTTATCTTTTTCCCACATGGACTGCTCTTTTTTTCTCCCAATTTAACTAAAACAGTCCCTCCTTTCAGTACCCATCAGAGTGGCATCAGCGAGCCTAATGACAAGCATGAAAGAGAGAGCACCCTCTGCTTGCCAGCCTGGGCTTCTCCTGCCATGTTACTTCCTCACAGCTTGTGGACTGTGGAAATTGTTTTCCTATGGACTTGTTTTCCTATGGAAATTGTATTTTCCCTAATGATCCATGAGTGGGATTCACAGAGCCACGGGCAGAGAAGGGCAGTGCAAGAGGCACTGCCCACCCAATGTGCTTCAGCTTTCACTGCTGATGGGTTGCACCAGAAGAAGAAGAGTCATCCTCGTCCCCATCCTTACAGCACAGGTGGCTCTGCCCTCTTCTCTTCCTCGGGGACATTCACCCACTGCCGCCGCACAACCTTTGGCACAAAGCGAGGCAGGATTTGGCCCCACATCAAAGACCTCACCAATGTGTCCTAGAGTTAGCAGGAGTGTCTGTCTGTGCTGGGGAAGGGCTAAGAGCTAGAATAGCAAGGGTATTTCAGGTCAGGCCTGAGGCGAATTAGCAGACAAGTTGTGAAGCTTACACAACATGTGGCCACATTATGTGTGGCACCAGTCAGCGCTAATAGCCTGTCATTGAGCTCCACGTTTAAACAATTTGAGCAAACAGCAAACAGAGGATGGGAGGAGGGAAAAAGACCTTCGAGGAATAAGCAAGATCAGGCTACTTAGTACACTTGACAAGCAAATATTGCAGAGGTGAGGACAACGGAGTATCTATCAGGTAGTTAGAGACGAGACCCAATTCCTACCATGCAAAAGTAACACAATACAAAACCAAAAATATACAACTTGCCCAATTTTAAAATTTACTTGGCCAGCAGATTTTTAAGCTACATTGGAAACCAGTTATTTGTTTAGGCTGCATCTGATCATGTGCATTATAAGAGAGAAAAAATAAAACATATATGGATTTGGTTTAGCAGCAAGGAAACAAAAAAAGGGGGAAACAGAAGGAAAAAGAAAAAAACAGTTTTAGTAACAACAAAGAGTAAAGTTCAACCGCATCCATATAAATAACGTTGATATTAGTGTTGGGAAGTAAAAACACTTTATAACAGAATTTAGAAACCATACTGCACTGTTTAATATGAAAATAATAGCCTTTCGAGCCAGTACTGTTAGAGTACTTACTTCATCCAGTGCAGAACTGGCTAAGAAACCATCCACTCTACCATGGGAATGCTTAGCTCAGTATCTGGTAGATTGCCAGCCATTTAAAATGTTTTTGTGTCGGTTTAATGATTGTTCCCATGAGCACTGACAGTAAGGGTTGACATTAATTAAAATACTAAGTCATCAGAGCATGCATTGTGGGGAGAGAAAGAATGGGCTGGATTCAATTGTCTTCAAGGTTTCTCCAGCCTTCAACATTTTTCTCTTAGCTGTATCATACATGCCAAATATCCTTTTAGCTGAGGTGTAACAATGTAAACAGGCTGTCTCCATAAATATAATCTTTTTAAGTTTTTCACATAGTTCCATTTAACTGATTAGAGGACAGTCATTAAAATCAGCTAATCATGTAATGTGGCTGTGTTCTGAATGCTAAACAAAATGCCTCAGTGAAAGAGGATTTTAAAACAGTGTCTGCTTCTCAATTTGTTTCTACTGTATATTCAATGGCACACAATACAGTATGAATTCTGGGCCTTATCCTCATTAACCTCAAAACTCATTATCTCATATAAAAACAGGCCCTTTCCATAGAGTATGTTGCAAAAACTATGAAAAAAACAAACTAGAGATGTATTTTCGCACACACTCTGGAAATGTGAACGTGTGAAATTAAACCAGAATAGCATAAAATCCCGAGTAAGACTCACTGATAAAATAATTTTTGCATAATTCAGATAGAACAGTTATCCTTTTTAATGTCTCTCATTTTATTAAACAATTACTCAAGATCCAGATCTTCAAACACACACAATCAGGAAAAAGTCACTTAACATCTAGAGTCTGCAAAACGTCCCCTCAAAAATGAGTAAAATGAGTAGAGGCTGAGTTCTTCTACTCCCATCCATTCAGCAAGCCTCTGTTTTATTCTCCGGGCAGGGGCTTAATACTCCAGAGAGCATCAACGCAAGACCAAATTCATTCTACATACATGATTGATACGCTAAGAATAAAGACTTCTGGCTTGACCAATGTGAAGAAGCAAGCTGAGCCTTCATAAATGCAATGGGACATTTTCACAGTAAGCAATATATATCGTAAAGGAGACTGCTGGTCCTGACGCAAAAGATAGAGCAACCCTTTCTGTATTTAAATCACTTTTGCTCCTCCGGATCAGAAGCCATGTGAATCTGCAACTTTGGGTCACCTCGATCTTGGCGAAGACCAAAATCTAAATGAGGTATGCGAAGCCAGTTATCATCCCAGCTCATCCACCAGCACACAGCACAGTGCCTCCCATCACACCAGGGGGCCGCGTAAGAGAAATGCTCTTCTCTGAATATGTGCAACCACCATTGTGCTTTGCACATATAAACACTGCTCCTTTACCTGGTTTGTGGACAGACACAGACCTTCTCTGCTGTCCTGGCATCAAACAGGGGGAAGGGGTTTTAAACCACCACAGACAGATTTCTCTGATGGCAAACCCTGGAATATGGGAATGCTCTTCGGCTTTTTGGTGTAAATGTTCTCTGAATAATCTTCTCATATAAATAAACTATGTGGACTTTGAGTCATTCAGCAGCTTATCTATGTAATGCAGAAGACCCAGAGCAGGCAATGGAGGTCCTTGTCCTTGTACATGAGAGCAGGAGACCTAACCTCCTCCTGAGGCTTCAGTGGAGCCATCTGTGGACACGAGATTAAAAGGCTTTGGGTGCTTTAAAATTAATCTTTTTTTTTTTTTTTTTTTTTTTTTTAAACTCTTGGGCCTAGTTTGGGAGGTGTTTTTTTTTGTTTTTTTTGTTTTTTTTTTTTTTCTGGTGGAGTTGCTTTTTCAGGGTGGTGGTGTTTTTTCTGTTTGTTTCCTTTTAAAGGACAGGGAGGCAATGCCCAGCGAGCGCCACCAGCCCCTCGCCAAGGGCTCCACAAAGCCGGAGTGCCCGAGCGCAGACTCCCAGCTCAGCCTGCCCGTGGCGGTGCAGCGATGAAGCGGGGCCCGCAGCTTCTCTGCGCCCCATCGAGAGCCGCGGGGAGCCGGAGTACCGCGCACAGGGTGCGGCCGGGGGCACGGGGAAGACGGGCGGCGAGGCCATCGCTGCGGAGGCCGAGGCCGCGCTGCTGCAGCTCCCCAGAGCTCGCTGTCCCGCCGGTGCCCGCGGTGCCCCGGGAGCCGGGAGGGGCCCGCCGTGCCCCGCGGCGGCGGGCGGTCGGAAGCGGCAGCGGCAGCCCCGGTAATCCGCGGGGCCGGGGCGCGGCGAGTGGGTGGTCCGGGCGGCCGGAGGCGCGGGCTGTCCCCCTGCCCCGGCGCCGGGCCCGGCCCGCTCCCGCTCCCGCAGCTGGGCCGGAGGCGGCCCGCAGACCGCTCTCGGCACATTTCTTCATTTCTCACTTGAGTGCCCTTCTTTAGTTCCCTTTCAACTGCCCACTTTATATCGGCTTCATTACACCACCGCTCCATTTGTGATGTAAATCGGGAAACTCAGGGAAGTTTTTCTTTTGGCCTTGTCTACGGAAGAATACCGAGAGGTATTCAAAACGTATTAACACAAATCAATGGCACCAATAAAAGCAAAATCTCCTTAGCAACATAATCTTGATTGCAAAAGGAGAACTGAGAGCATTTAGCAGAACAGTGGCCCACATGGAATACGCATTTGTCTAGAAGAATGCAGCACAAAGCCTAAAAGAGAGATGCTGAAAAAATCCAAAATTAACTCACACTGAACAGTTACTCTTTTTTTCAAAAGTACACAATTGGCTACATTAAATCTATCGTGCGCTTTTCTGCTCAGCAACATTGTATCTACCGCTTTGCAAGGCCACATTACAACACCCGGAATGCTTCACAGCGCCGGGCAGGAGCACCCCTCCCCACCCGCACGTCGGGACATGAGCATGCCTAACACACCTCTCATACATGCTAGAGACATTATGCACACGCTATATTATGAAGAGACTGCCAAGACTTCCATCCTACAGTAACCAACGAGCTTAAAACATTCCATGCAAGGAAAAGCTGCCGGCTGATGAGAACCAAGGCCATCCTCGGCATGGCGGAGAGTGAGACTTAATTTTTGTTCATAAGGTTCAGGTTAACCAGCATTTCATACTGAATGGCCCGAAAAACATGTGAACTGCACGGATAGGAATGATTCCCTTCTGAATAGGTGGCATCTGCCTCAACTAGATGGAAACCCTATCTTGTTTGAGAGCACACGTGAATAAAACATAAAAGCTTCAAAAAAAGACACAGCTTCAAAATCACCATTCAACCATAATGATAGTACATTTAATAAATCCTACCATCATTAGGGCTTGAAAAGCTTAAAGAACTCCAAATGTGGACTTAATGAAAAGCCAGTTTGAAACACTTAGAGCAGGCAATGCCTGTAATTTGCTAACTCCAGTCCTAGAGTCACCTAAATTACCCAAAATTATTTTCTCTCCCCTCTCACCGCCCCCCATCAACTGGAAGTAAGATGAGATCACTGCACAATACAGCAGTTTCTCATGTTTTTCCTCCTCTTCCTCTCCCTACCACACCCTCCCCCCAACACAGATGAAAAACTGTAAGGCTTAGAAGATAGGTTAAACAATTATTTTATTAGTGTATAATACATACAACTTAAGAAATGCTTTAAAAAAAGTTATATTGGAGTCCTTTCCAATACTGGGTCAGGTCAGGAAAAATCAATGTCGATGTATTAAATAATATTCTACAATTCAATAACAGATTAACCTCGGTAATTTAGCAGACACGGTTAAATATTCTTAAATATGTATATATACAATTGTGCAGTCTTAAAAAAGTCCTTTTATTCCTATCTTCTCCTCCCAAAGCTGTGCACCCTGTGCACTGCACACAGTGCTGGCTTCTAAGCTTTGAGTCTCTCACCTGGATTTAGGATACTTGAAGAGGAATGTTACAATAGTGGAAATCACAGCAAACCTATCTTTCTAAACTCTTTGTGAGAGGAGAGATGGCCAACAGGCAAAATTAACATCAAGTCTCTCTGTAAGTAGCAGCTTCTTTAATCTCCAGTTTTAGGTTAAATTATTGCTTACACGTTTTCTGCTTGAAATGGATTTTTAACATACTCCAAAATATTGGGTTTTAAGTTTTCCCTCTTGATGGCAACATCTTTTCAGTGACTTATTGACAATTACTGCTTCATACATTTAACAGGTCTTTCCTAAGCACAAGCAGTCCAGTGCAATTCTCTGCAAATTTTTTTAATGCAACATGAGTTACACAGGTCTAATTTAGCACACAACATTTAGGCACTATTTTGTAGTTTACTACTCTCTTTCAAATTTATGTTTGGAATGAGTTCATATTCTGATTGCCAGACTCCATCCTTTATGAAAACAAGGATCTGGGTCACACTTTTCAAATCAGGAACTACTTCATATTCCCTGTTATCTCACTGAACCAAACTGTTAATTGACAACATTAACCAGTAGGTACACTGCATATCCTAACAAGTCAGAAAGCCTATTGCTAGCATAAAAGGATCAGAGATACACACTTGGAGTGGATGAGTTAGATATTTATATCAGCACAATGAAACCAGTTTAAACATACAGCCACTAAAAATATCAGTTACATTGCATCAGGATATGACTTTTTGAAACATTTCTATGCATGACTTAAAAATGTATTCATAAACCTAAAATGCTGTAACAAAAAAAAGTCTTCAGCTGACTACTAAGTCCAGTTTTCAACATGAGGCAAAGTAAATTTCATTTATTAAGCTATAAATGAGGAGCAAACAAGAAAAAAGCATGTTTCAATAAACATTATAAAAATGTATTTGTTCTCACAAAGTGAGCATTTGTCAATGGCTCCCTTCTAAATAAAAACTAAAATTAACTACAAAAGTCTTACTTACCTGAACATAAATTTTACTAACTGGATCCTACTTGTGAGCCTTAGATATACTGTCACATGACAGGAGCTGTCTGGACAGGTCAAGAATTTTCTTTGGAAACAATTAGTCATGCATTACAGGCTCCAGTTTAGGAAAAGACTGTTCTGCACTTAGCGCAGCTCTCATCAGCAATTCCACTTGGGTCTGGCTATTTTAAATGAAGAGATGCTGAGTTTAGAAGGAAGCTTACCTTCTGTATTATTATTCTATATGATAGCAGAATAGTCTATCAACTAGAGCATAACCAAAATAAATCAATCACACACCAAAATAAAAAAGTGAACAGAAGTTAATACACAGTCTACATAATTACTAAAATGGACTGCTAGCTTTTGCTTAACTTGCATCATTCAATACCATTTCATTCAGTTCAAAACTATTTTCTGCCATACTCACAGAACTCTAAACCTAATCCCCAAATCCAATCTTTTGAGTGCTGCTTCTCCTAATTCCTATGTTTCACCTTTTGCCTTACTAAATTGTTCCTAATGGTCTGTTGTATTTTGAAGAGCCAAGCATTTATGAAACCTTTTTCAAGAAAATAAATATTAATGAAATATTAATGAGCTAGACAAACCAGAAGACTTTTTTTAAAGGACAACTTCCATGAAACCAGTAAAATACAGTTTTATGAAATGTGTATATTACCCAGGTGTTATATGGTAGGGATACATATATACATCAGCACAAGTGTCAACATATGACCTTTCATGCAAGGAATCAGGGAGTTTTATTTTTCAAATATGTTTTTTAATTCAGCCTACACTGACTGATACATCAGAAAGATGAAAATTCGAAAAGTAATGAACTGCAAAGTACTGTTACCAACAAACAGTCCAAATGGATACCTAATGAAGAATAAATGCATGGTTTAAGCAGCGACTTTTTTCACTTCTAGAGTACTTCGCCCCTTGAAATTATTCTACTTTTTAAGAAGAATGATACTGTTTTCTTAGTACACCAGTATCCCCTGATTCACCCAGCCTACAGAGAAAACTTTGCAAAGAATAAACACAGGAATTAAGAAGGTAGCACCATTAGAAATAATCACTCCATCCAAATCAGAAAAAAACCCCTTCATTTATCCTTATCCAACATTGACATTCAGCAGCCTAGTAATACAGGGTAAAAGAAGTTCTCATAACTTTATATTGATAACATTCATAATGGTCATGCATATTACAATCAAGTTTCTAGGGTGACATTTGCAAAGTAAGCCTTCATGCAGACAGGCATTCAGCTCATTAATTCCAAGTTCGTATTTCCTATTAGTCCCTGAGAAGTTAATATTTCCACCTACAATATGGCTATTAAAGGCATTATAATGATCATACACTTAGCTGTTTGTCATGGAAATGCAACGTGGCTATCGGGAGAAGCAGAGAAATTACAGCAAATTAGCAGTGATGAATACGGATTTCTGAAATGCTTTCTTTTCATAAGCAAGGTTGCTGAAGAGCAACACAAATGATTTTAGTCACAGGTACAAAACTAGCCAGCACCACTTATCTTTAATAAGTCACTACTTATGAATCCAAGACATTTGAGGCTCTAAGACCTCTCTAATTGAGTGTTTCCTTTACACAAAATCATCTGGATTTTGACCTAATGTAGGGTCATCATGATCCTTATTTTAATTATTCAACAGCAGTGCTGGGAGAACTTAAAAGAACCACGGATTTTCTTTGCTTAACACGTCTTTCACCTCTTCAATTAAAGTGATCTTTTTAAACTGTTCAGAATTCAAATGGGGTTTTTGGTGGACAATTTGCATTATTGCCAGCTGCTCAAAACCCATAAACTAGGGCTCCAAAACAAGGGTACCAATTTAAAATTAAGACTTTGGGGTGGGGGGGGTGGAGGGAAGGGAAAGTTCTTTTTCCTTGGCTCCTGGCTTCTAAGCAGTTATAGATTATATTTTAAAGCTCTTCCCACAATCTTTGGGGCTAAATAATGATTTTCAGAAAAAAAAATAAATTAAAACTGACTTTTAAGTAAGCCTGTGTTGGAGAGACAGTGTATTACATTTAAATATCATGGTCTTGAGAATTACAAAAACGTATCATTTAACAAATTGATTTAGAGATTATAATTTACACCTAAGTACTGTAAAAAGTTTTTACAAACTATTTTTCTTGGGTTTACGTATCATGGGAAATTTTGGATCTGCATAAATAGTTTATTAAAATTACTCTTACTGACCTATTACAAAAAATTTACTGACTTCCTGTATCAACATAAACATTTTCATTTCTGGTGAAGTTTGTCAATCCCAATATAAACTTCAAGTCACAACTATTTAACAACAGATGAGCTCTTCACATAGGGTCAGAGAGAAAGCCCTTCTCCCTCAGAACTTATTTCCACCAAAAGAATTTGTTTCTATTATATTACAGTAAGTAAGAAATCTTTATTCACCAGCTAAAGGCAACTATATCTAAAAGTAATAATTAGCTCTCACAGGGATTCACTGATGCCTTCACCATTAGTTCAGCAGTCTAAGGATGAAACAGGCACAATTTGATTATTATCAACTTGATACCTAACTTAACTGTTCAAGGAAATTTTAAATAGGTAAGATTATTTGTAGGAACTGCTGAGTTGCAAGAAGCTAAACAAGTTAGTATAATGTAATAGTTATTTTAGCAAAGAGTAGGCTGTGTCCTGGAAGTCCTACTATAGCTTCTGGTCTGCTCAAACTGTGCAATTTTGTTCTTTGCCAAGTGACAAAAAGGTAATATATGTCTTCTCACTAGCAATCAAAATAAATAGATTTGGTATTTCAGAAGCAACATCAAAAGAAAATCCTGACAACTGCCGCAGGCATTAAACAGTTGATTAAAGCTCCTGCCATCTTCAATTTCCATCACTGTAATTAATGAATTGAAAGGGATTGTATGAAAATATTTTATAACATTCTTACTAGGTGAGTGTACTACTTCTTCAGGAGAGTACCACTTCTGAGATAATACTCATTTTTCAATACAGGCATTTTCTCAAATTTCCTGATTATATTTTAAGTCAGAGACATTGTATTAATAAAATACCCAAAATACTTTTTGAGGGCGTAAGTCTGGCCTCCTTACAAAGGGATTTAACTTTTTAGTTGCTCAGAGCTCTACTTTGGATCTCTATATTATTTCTTAAAGAGAAAGTCACAGCTATAATATAGAAATGCCTGCTAACCAAGCCTATGACTGCTGATGCACTCAGAAGTAGAAAGGATCTTAAGCATCTCTACTGTTGATGTGGAAGCTTTACTAATGAGATACGCTGTAAACCTGTAAGCCACACTCTGTTCACTGCTCTGGTCTCAGCACAAATCACACCTGAAACAGCTTTACTGTCACTGGGTTTGGGTGCTGCTGGCAAGGTAGCTGTGGAAGTGGACAAAACACGCTATGGGAAGTCTGAGTAGTAAACTAAGACAAATAGCTGCTACATATCACAAGCCATATCCTTCACTAGAGTGGAGGGATAGATTTCCACATCAGTGGAAAACTGCATCCATGACACAAATTATCTCTATTGTCAAATGAATTTTTTTATAAAATCTAGGCCTTATATGATCCAATATTCATTTTATTGAAAACTGACACAAAAGAAATAAATTATATTTCTGGTATTTATCACCAGTTATCACTTCTGTTCAATTCCAACCTCTCCTCTGCACCTCCAACCTCCCCCATCTCTGCTGCCATCAACGTTAGCTTTCTGTCCTCCTGCAGGCTGAAACTAGACCGAGGGTATGATTAATACTTTTGGGTGAGAGGAGTGCAGCAGACCCAGATTTATACTGAAGAACAGGTTGGAATTGATTTTTAGAAAATGATAAGCAGCTACTTTGTAGAGAAACCATGGGTGGCACTCAGAAGACTGAGGCCAGCACAGAACCGGGATTTGTTAATTAAAAATCATATTATATCAAGTCAAAGGAACACCCTTGTAGGTTCGTATGAAAAGCATAGCTGAGCCATTCTCAAAGTGAACCGTAGGAATCCACAGATGAAAGCTGTGCAAAGGATGAATTTTGGGAACAGATACAGAAGGCTTAAATTTAAGAAAACTTAAAATTTTCTAGAACACTCCCACTATGAACAATTTAGGAATATAATACTCACTAGGGAATATTTTACAGAGAATAAATATTTTGAAGACATAGAAAAATAGTTCACAGCATCAAGGTATCTGTAATATGTTACCTTGAAATAAAAGTTGTATTTAAAAGATTAAAAAGAGAAGACTATTCTTGTAGTGGTATCAACTCTTCATTCATACAAATATTAAGCAGAGTATATCTGGTTTTTTTTTAATATATTCACATTATTGCTTGCTAACACAACTGTACAAGGAACATGTTCTTAACTTACATCAATTTTGTGTACAGTAATTTTAGATACATAATTCTGCAGTATGAGAGTTGCAAGTAAAAAACCCCAAAAGCTACGCGTGAAGATAAGTAAAACTAAAGTATAATCAGAAGAAATGAAGTACAACTGCCCTGACCCAAGCATACATCATATATCCAGTAAAAAAATTCTTATACTTGTGCAGAAAATAAGCTTTGTAAACCAAAATGAGCAGAAGAAAGGGTACAATAAATAACTGCCTAACACATTTAAGCATACACTGTTACCTAGTGCACCCTGCTTTGATTGCTTTAATTCATGGATTTGCAACTGGAACTGCACTGTTCAAGAATTCAATAACTTTTTTCCTGTGTATGTGGCTTTAAAATAAACAAAAACAACCATGAAAGGTTTCCTTGAGCAACTAAATTTTACTAAAACAAGTCCTTCTGCACCCCTGCGTACAAGATCTGGTAAACACTATGAATAAAGCTGGCACATGACAACTGACTAAATTAAAACAGCTACATTATAAAATGAAATAATAATACACTTTTGTGATCTTGAGTTCCATTAACCAGATGCATGCAATGCTCTCAGTGATTCTTCTAGTCTGAGTTAAATAATTCCACTTGGCTGCCTTATTTTTTTAATTTTTTAAAGTCAAACTTTTTCAGAACCAGTTGACAGGACTTCTTCATGAAAAGCATAGCGATTTCTACTAACAATATCTGGGTTTCAAAAAGAACTTTGTCTCCTTCTTTGCTGGAAGAGACTAGTCAGTATCCCAAAAAGAAATAGAAGTATTTACAATTGACTAGTCACTGACAGAAGCGCCCAAATATCTTAGAAGGAACTTCAGCAACTTCAGAATGACTAAAGGAATTTACACAATGTACAGTCAACCAGTTGTATCATATAGGGATAAAAAAATACCTGTTCACTTGTATATCATTTTCAGCTGTGTATTTATAGTAATATATATATGTACACACACGCGCGCACACATATAAAAGACTCCTTTGAAAATCAAGATACATTAATAAACAGAAGTAGCAAAAGTAAAAATAACTTAAGTGTAATTAACAGTTGTATGAAATTACTTTGCAGAGTCTGACCAAATACAATTAGAACATACTCTTATTTAAAAAAAACACAAAAAAACCAACTAACCAACCAAAAATAAACCGAAAAAAACAAACAAACATGAAAACCCAAAACAAACAAACAAAAACCAAATGAAACCACCACAAGATTCTGTAGAACCAAAGTTATGTCACTACCAGGAGAGCACCAAGCAAGGCACCATTGGAAAGACAACATACTTGAATAAGTCTCTATAAATAAATCGAATGCTAATCTGGTCGAAAAATCGGTGTCTTTGGTAAAAATTCTATAAGGATGACCTGTATAAAAAGAAAACAAATACGTATTAAAGACAGCAGCAATTCTATTATCTATCACAATTATAATTCACATGGTTTTGGGTTTGGTTTTTTTTTTAGTATATCAAGTCGTGATGAAAAACAAAAATCATGGCATTTGTCTCAGGTAGGAGATCATTAGAAAAGTCATGTATGATAATTGGTTTAGGGTTGAAAACTAATACTCAAAGAATATAACTGGAAAAGTTTGCCTACGCATATGAAACACACAAATTGAAGTAAGCTAATTATGTTAAAGAATTATTATGCAATAATTTATTTATCGGGAAAAAATTACAAAAGAGATAAATGCATTCCTTAAAAAAATAAAAAAACCTCCTGAATGCACAATACATGAAAAGTTAGTTTTCAATTGCAATTTAACTTACTTCAGAATTGTTGTCACTTAATACAGGATTCTAAATCATGACTATAGTTCAATACCTGTATAAAAAAGTGTATCAACTTTTGAAAAGTTCCCATATCTACAAATGTTCAAGTAGTTAACAAGAACTTGACTAATGGTTTTGCATGATTATTCCTATGGTCTCAATTCAAATTTAAACTACATTTTTCTCAGCTATGTACACTATAGGGTCCATTCCAGAACACAAACCAAGTATTTATCCTCTTTAAATAGGAAGCTTGAGAAAATGTTGACTTGTGCATGTTCATTCTTTGGAGACAGTCATAACACAGCAGCATGATCTGATTTACAAACAAATAAATGCATCTGGTAACATAAATAAGGGTTTTATTTACCTGTAAGGCAAACTCACCTTTTTAAGAAGTTAAAAATTATTTCTCAATATTTGTGATTGAAAGGAGAATACAACTTAGCTGCTTAGAAAATAAAGACATCTATCTCTGGAAGCATACAAAGCCTCAGAAAATAAAAGTAAGTCTCCAATGTTATTTCTAAGCCAAGCACTTTTGGAATTACAAATCCCAAAATTAGGTATACAAGTTTATTTTTTTGAGATATTCAGAAGTGATTTATTTTCAGAAGTAATGCAAACTGCTCAAAATCCACTGATCACTGACCTGAATCAACCACTGGATTTTGTAGAGATACCAGGGTTTCTGATTTTCAGGCAAGTTTTTAGAAAGGGAACAGAAAATAAAGCTGAAGTACTGTGTTTATGTCAAAGGTGTAAGAACATCTTGTCTTTCTTAATTTAATTAATTATTTATTTAATATCTACTACAGCGGATTTCAGCTTGGTGAAGCACCAAATTTTGGGTACAAGAGTCTAATTTTAATCATCTGTTTAGTGAAAAGTTGAGGATAGGCATCTATTATTTAAAATTAAATCACCATCATATTAGGAGATGTTTTTAAAGACATGAGCAAATCAGTTCACTGAAATTGAGAAAATGTCACACTGAGTTTTTGTAAAAATTATCTCATCGAGTATACCCAAAGATAATACCCAACATGTCATAAATTGAAAATAAAATCTTTGACCTTTATCCTGTGAAACTATATGCCCATGCATATATTATTACAGTAAGCAGGTCAACTGATTTGAAAATATATATTTGATGGAATGAATATTCATCTGTAAATGTTGCTGGGACATAGTATTTACAAGCTCACATTATGTTTTTTTCCAACTGAATCTGCAGAACATTGGGTTTGACAATGTTTCCTGCAGAAAAATAAAGTTTTCAGCAAAATACAAATGCTAAATTTAGGCAAAGATTAAGTCTATTTTCTGAAATTTGATTTATTCCATTTTCAGTCTCACCCATATATCTAATGTAAAAAAATTCAGCAGAATAAATTTTACAATAAGTACTTATTCAGTGAACTGAATAGAGCCATTCTGCATAAAAATGCTTTTTTAAGATCTTGTATTTCAGGCAAGAGATAAGATCTAGTGGAGGGACAGGGCAAAGGAGAAGACTAAAAGATAATTTTAATATAATTTTGAACTGTTGAATCACATTTAAAAAATTTATGGGCATTATAGCTTTGTTATTTTAAAGAACAGACAAAGTGCTGCACAATGGAAGATCACAGATAAGCTAGACCTAATGCAGTAGATATTTCTCCAAAGCTAATCTTTATTTTTAAAAACCTAAACTTCCTACAGCCTAGTTACTAAAGCATCAGAAGCAATTGTGAAAATTCTAATGTTGTTTACATCTTAGCAGCTTAATTTCATCCATCCTATGTACTTCCAAGATATATAAAAAATGGAAATAAGAACAGCACCAAAAAGAACAAGTTGCAAGCTAAACAAACTGAAATCCTACACAAGACATCATTCATTTTAAACCACACATAACTTCTCCCTGTATATTACCAAGACGGGTTTATGGAGTCTCAGCCAAAGACTAAGTAGACTAAAACTCCAGAGACTGACTTGAAAATATTTTAGTGACACCAATTGGAGATAAAGATACTTTCAAGATAGTTGAGGTAAGGGGCAGTTAAAATCTAAAAAAGCTTTAAAGGTTAAAATTCAAAAAAGGAGCTAAAGGTTTCTTAAGCTCCAACAGCTTAGTTGAAAGGTCTTCTTCCATACTTTTGGACTTGATTAGCATTATATAAAATAGCCATATCTGACTTGCTGCGTAACCAAAGTTGTGGTTATTCTTTATACAGCATCTAAAATTTCACACTCCATCAGCACATGTTCAAGCTATTTTATCTTGGCAATTAATTTATTATTTTTCAGAACACAGTGAAGCGTTGTTTTCAAGTCATTCATAACTTTATAAATCAGTCCTGCACATGAAACCATGCATCTGTGAACCGTAGAAAATCCTTGCACTCAGGCGATTAAGCTCCTGACACCTTTACTGATTAATAATCATGAAAAGAATAAGATCAGAAGCAAAATAAATGATCATTTAATAGAGAAACTCACAAAACAGCCCTTTAACTTACATATTCCATCATGTTATTCGTTTCACATTTCCTTTTGCTTAGTCTCCAATGCAAGCACAGCTAGACAAGGAGGAAAGAAAAAGAAGAAAAATGAGCTGTATTTTATTGCAGCACACAGACTAGCCCATTTGTTCACCTTTCATATTTTTCGTTCAACAAAAGCATCTGTTTCCATACTGTGCAATTCAAACTCCAACAGTACGAAGCTGCTCCCTGCGGCACTCACCTTGTGGTATAACCTATTGTTTTCCCATTCTAATAACTTCTCAATCGATCTTCGTGTCTGGAAGACAAATGAGAAAGAATTTTACTCTTGACTGGTTTTAGAAAAACTTTGTTTTGCAGCTGCTTTTGTGTGAAAAGGAGAGAGGTACAGGACAGTGACTGAGTACAAGGTGGTCTGTAGTACGATCAAAACTTGTCTGGTATTAAATAGTATCTAGAACAGAAACAACTTTTTGTGATAGCTGAGTAAGTACCTTCAATCACTTTGGAACAAAAACTGTTGATATGTATGCTCCATGGTTGATATGGCAGTTTTAACTTTAAAATCATAGAAATTTCAAAGTTATCTAAGTATGAAATGCAGGAACACTGTTCCCCCAGGATCAGTGATCTAAATGTACTTCTTCTAAGATCAGCATAGAAATTCACAAATGTTGCAAACTATTTTGCAGTGCTGTAGGTAAAGTGCAAATACACAGCACTCTAAATGAGGAATTTTTGTTACATTTACATCCAGATTTTAGAGAGTGAAAAGGCAAATGCAGAAAGTTACAGTAAATTCCACAAATAAGCATTACTAAGTTTGTGATCTGTAAGAGAGCAAACCCAATATTTAGGATTCTAAAGGAAATGTAAACCTGAGTGCAAGGTTTACTGCTTGCGTCATCCACACTTGACATTTCAGATAGAGAACACTAAACAGCATTTTTAGATTATGCATGCTAGAATTAAAGGACATTCTGTGCTACAAAGTTTCACAGCATTTTGAATATAATTATTCAGTTATATTTACATTTGAGAAATACATACTGACATTTATGGTCATTTGACTGCCAGAATATATATTGCTTAGCTCTAAATGGGATTTGCTACAGACAGTGAATAAAAAGAGGATAATTCATGGTGCCAGGTGTTAAGATGGGACCAACAGAGCTGCAGGTGCAAAAGGACGGAGCAATGACAAGGATCAAATACAACTTAGTGCAGCTGCAGCTTCCTCACAAGGCGGAGAGCGGTCAGGGGAAAGGATAAGAAAGCATCTTGCTGTTATTACTACAAAATACTAATACAGTAAATGAACCTTAACAAACCAAACTAAATGCTGTCATGAGAAACAAAAATGTCTGAGTAAAATAAAAATTAGACAACAAATTGTTCATTTCCCCACAAATATTAACATTTGGTTTTCAAACATCCTCTAGTTTAATACTGAAGCAGTTGTGGGGAAGCACAGCTAAGCATGTACGGTGGTCACATGATTAAAAATTAGATCATTGCTATCTATCAGTATTCATTACAGCAATTTTTTTATTATGTTTTATTTTAAAATCACAAGCCAAGGAATTATCAAAAGGTGGACATACCAGTGACTAATTTATCACATCAATTGGAAATGGAGTATTTTTGGGGTTATTCTTATTATTATGTTTTTAAAGACAGTGCCCTTTAACAATAATCAGTAGACCTCACTTGTTTCTTTGTAAAGATAGCCTTTTAGAGTCTGCTCTCCTTTTAAATGAAAATAGGGCAGCAGTTATGGTCACACTTTTGTTAATTTAGTTGCCAGTCAGCTCCAAATCAAAAGAAAATAAGGCTGCAGAGTGTAATTAACATTCAGTTCAGTCGTTTTGTCCCTTGTCTAGCCCCCAAGCTTTGTTAAAATTGCCATCTGAATGCTGAAGGCTGTAGGGAAATCGATTTGATTCTAATCGCACCATGAAAAGAACATGATCTAACTGCTTTCAGCCCTCCGTAAATCTGTACTAGGTCTTTAGCACAATGCAACTTCCAATTTAAAAAGCACTGAATGTCTCGTCAATGACTTTGTGAAGAAAAAAGAACAAGGAGCAGACATAAAAATTCCAATAGTTGTTTAAGCATTAAAGTTCATTTGCATCACAGCAAACCTGAAAAGGGCTGACCTCTCAAACCGCCTCTCAGGTCTATGAAGTTGTAGCCTTGACAAGCTCACATTGACAGAGCTCATTGACTCTGAAAGGCTACTCTATCAATGGTGAAAAATGGCAATAGGTTCTACTCTGAGCAGGCATCTGCCTGCCCACCCGCTGCTAAACCAATGGCAAAACTGATTCAAAACCTGAATCTACCTTGTAATCTTCCTTTCCAGGACCTTTTAATAATAGATTAAGATCACTATACAATTTAATTTCATTGTTTGCCCTAAAGACTGTGAAAAACATCTAAGCTTTTCAAATTCCAATAAAATTACATCTATATTACAATACACAAATATCAATAAGAAATTGATAGGTACTATTAATTGGTTTATTCAAACGAGAGGACAGCTTAAAGTCATTTGACTAGCATGAGATAAAAATACATGCAGACTCGAGACCACGATTCTTTATCATTCCAGGGTCTTAAATACTACTTACTCTTCCTATAGTATAATCTGGAATAGTCATAGCTCCCAAACACACCATATTACTAATACAGAAATGTTAATGAAAATTAGACTGTAAAATATTTCTGCAAACCTCAGAGCTTGGAATAAAAAAGAAATTCATTAAACAGCATCACACAATTCACTATAGTAAGTTTTCTTCCTACTTGACAGGTGAAAAAAAGCACTTGCACGTGCAGCTTAATTAATCACTGCTCTTGACATCTCAATGATTTACAGTGAGGAGCAGGTGAGGATATACAAAACCAGAAAGGAACACTTGATTTGAGTGTAGCATTTCCAGCACACTAGGATGACAAGCTTGTATATTCTATCAATGGTGTACAGAAAAACCCATACAGCAAATTATTTGTTAGCCACAACAAAAGCACAAATTAAGTGGAAGAGAGACTTGCTTATTAGGAAGATTTAATACTATCCAGCTTTTCATTTTTTTTTTCTTAAAAACCCAGTCCAATATTTGAGCAAAGAAAAAACCTGCAATTCAAGTACACTTTTCAGCATACCAAGGATAAGAAAATATTCTTTGTAACATATTTTATGAAAGAAGCAGAGTCTTCAACACTATCCACAGAATTTTGTGAAATAGACCTCTTCAACTGTCTAGATGCAATGTTTAATGAAATATTTCTTGAAATGATTCTTTAAGGATATTAGTGTCTAACAGTGTCTTTTGAAGAACCAGACTCCCAAAAAACTCTAGCACAGAGTACACTTCCACTAATGCTTATCGCTCCTGATTTACTAAAATAAAGTTTTTCCCCCAAACATGGAAGAAAAAAAAATCTAAGCCTAAATATGAACTTTCCATGCAGAAGCAAGGACAGCATTGAATATATTACCAACTGCAAGACATTTCTGTTACGCCTTTGCAGTGTCTATCCAGTTAGCTCCAGATGGAAGTATGATCTGGACAGGAAAGCTGTGCATCAACAGGACTCCTCTGGCAGTGCGTGGCCAGGAACACGCACACTGCACTAAATCGCACTAGCAAATGGGCCAAGGCCCCCTCAAGCCCTGCTGTAAATCAGCGGATGACTGGTACAATATTAAACAAAAGGATCTTACCTGACTCCCAAAATGGTGCTAATTTGAGAACCTCCCTTTGTCTTTATTATGTGGGGAAACAACATGGATAGCAACACAGTCCTCCACTAATAATTGTATTTGTAGCTGCTTGGGAAAAACCAAAGACTCTCCCCTATGTGCATTTGATCTTTGACTTCCCATCTGAAAATATACATATGTATATGTTGTGCACTATTAGCCCAATAAATAGCATGAGATTGTCAAACTCCTTTATACAAAACTTTACCACAATCAACTATTACTGGTTTTGAATATCACCCTGAACAAATACACTTTATGCTTAAATTTCAAAATCTCCCTACAATACTAGGCTGATTTTTGTTAGCTATCCACATGGCCGGAATTTGTATTATATACTACAGAAAAAAAGTCAATGGATCCTGACAGAGGTTGAAACAAAAGTATCACTATATTCCGCTCACTCAGAGAAATGACAGAAGCAAAAATTTCTATTCATTCTGACTACAAAATTTATACCCAAGTAATTTAGCTATCACCACAAATGGTGAAATAGAAAGTTAGAAGATAACTGAGTCACATATGCTCACTTTCAACAGGCCAGAACATCCCCAAGCCAATTTTGAGGCCCATACTGGTACCACAAAAATGCCAAAGCTGTACACAAAGCACACGTAACTGAATGATGTACATCTGTGCTGAGGATGTCCTCATCTTGAACACTACACCTCAAGTAAACCAATATAAACTGCAAATTGCTAAGTTTGCGACGTTGCTAAGGAATTCTCCATTTGTAAAGGGAGAAGATCACAAAGGTGAAGCCTGAGTTGATTTCAGATCCTGACATCCTGGACTATCTGCTTTAGTGCACAGTCGTTTGAAAAGGTGTCTGTTCTACTACACAGGTGAACATGGAGATCTTGCATAATTTCTCCTATTAGTAGCTAGGATATTTCTTATTTTAGACCACTATAAGGGTGCTCATCCCAGAAGCCACTTCAACATCCACGCAAGAAAGCAAGTGAAATCTCTACTACACAGAATAAATATCTGGAAATAAATGCAGCAGTCTGGTGCTTTTTACAGGATCTTGAAATAGCCTTGTCCAACAAGACTGCTATGGCTGCATTTTGCCTTACTAGATTGATTACTTTGTGCAGAAAGTAAGTCCAGCCTAAAGCACAGATCAAAGCTCCAGATCAGAGAGAAATACAATCAACAGAATTATGGAGCAGGACAACTGATGACATCAGGTTGTCTTCATGAAACTTCACATTCAGACAGCCCTGAAGATTTGTTCTCGCACGATCCATAAACTATCTCATTTGTACAGGTCTCAGCTGTGGATTGGTACATCACAAAGAGATTAATTTAAAGCTTAGTGAACCAAATCACACCAATTACCAATAGTTGATTCTGGAAAGGTCTCTTCCACCAAACTATTTACTGATAAAAAGAGAAGCTCAGTGTTACTTGACACTACTGCATGTAACACTTTTGAATAGCTAAACTCAAGATGATTCCTCACTTAACCTGGTTGCCTTGATTGTCAAATTCCTGGAGTGTTTAAGAAAGCAGTAAAGCCA